ATAAACTGCTGCAAAACCAATCCCTTAAATAAGTTACTTTGTTTTTTAATATTATGAAAACAGGATTTGCTCGAGAAAAAAAACAAGAGATTCCAAATCCGTTTAAAAAGTAATCCAGAAAAGTTTCGTTGCATCTGATTTAAAAAAAAAAAAAAAGTTAACATTTGTTGATCAATGTGATGCACTGCCCCATATGCCGTTACATGACAAATTTGCATGCACTGCTACATTGTGTTCTATCAAGCATTGATGATTTCTATAACTGCAATTATGGTGGTATTAAAATGGGAATTATATATGATCAAACACCTTCACACATAGCGACATGGGGGAAATATATATATATATATATATATATATATATATATATATATATATATATATATATTAGAGATCAATTTCAATCACAAAGGGCAGATGACAACGAGCACGCCAAATGGACTCAAGTTGGACTACTTTAGCATGCTGCACTTAGTCTCAGCATGCGTGTCATTCCTGAGAGGAAAAAATGAAGCAGCATTTGCACACACACATGCACACACACATACACACAGACACACACGCACAGACACACACACGGGCCACATGGTTTTGTTTGGGGTTCCTAGTCAATTTAGTGCAATAGAGTGGACTGCTGGGCAACTGCTGAAGTATGAGCGTACACAATCCCCACTCTTGCACACACACCTTGACCAGTGCAGCGAGGCCACTAGGGTTACGGTGCCCTCGCGGAGCTCTAATGAGACGAAGAACAACCCGTGTAACAGATGGTCCTCTGGTCATATGAGGGCCCCTGAAGTCACTCGCCTCCATGGAACCTCGTCACTATGATTGCTCCTATTTGCCTATTCACGCCGTATGCACACACATACACACACGACCTTGTTTGGCACTTGTGGATGCATCCTTTGCATCTTCCATCGCGTTCCCTGCGGTCCATGATGCGGAGGCTATGTACTGGATATTCCTGTGAAAATCACTATCAGAAGAGAATAAATAAAAAGGCAATTAAATATGTATTGTATGGAGAGAGGGTGTACATCCTGGACTGGTCAACAGCCATTTCCAGGACACATATTAGACAAACAACTATTTTGACACTATGGCTGAATGATTTTGCAAAGTATTCTAATTCCAATTTTTGTTCCCGAAATACTGCGATAGAGATTGAACCTTTTCAGGGACAGCGGTCA